TTGAATTTTGAGGAATCCAAATCAGAAACTAGAATTAATGTAATTTAATTTATTGCTTTTTATGCACCTTGCACGATTTTTCAGAAGGAACGCAAATATGTCTTCTTTTTCCCACTGTATCTTTCAGATTTCGTGTATCAACTAAGCACATCAAAATTCCTTATGATGGGTCTTTCTGTCTTACACAAGCCAAGGTTTTTACCAGCATCACGGTAAATGATCTGATCTATGATTTTGGTGGCTTAGCAAGAAGGGAACATCTGTTTTTCTTGGTTTGGTTTGAGAGGAAACTGAATAAAAAACTAAGTAGAGGGATTTATTAATTAATATAGTAAGCCCTATGAGATGGAGAGCTTGTGCTCTAAAAAATAAATATTCTAACTTTTTTTAGGAATTAATCCAGTATTATCGGGATAATACCCTTGGAGTTAGTTTTCCTGGTCTCGATACAACTTTACGATGTGGGATTAATGAAGAATTAGAACAGGAAGGTGAGCTTTTTTAATTTTATCATCAACTTCAATTATTTTCTTTTTGATGTTCAACACTTCTTCAATACTTCTGATACTGGATCTGTTATTGGTTGATTAGTGGTCAAGGAACTCTAGGCAGAAGTTGGTTCAAAGTTTTCTTCTTCTTGAAGCCATGCAATGTTTATATAAATTGCTTTTGTGAATAAGTTCAATAACTGATACATTTTTCAGGGCTTGGATGGGCAAAAGCATTGTATCCATACACTGCAAGAAATTCCAAAGAAATTTCTATTCAAGTAAGGACCTATTTCCAGATGTACCACATGTATAATTATACTTATGTGAAATTATATTGGTTATAATTTGCTTGCCATCAGAGATTTTCAATATACTTTAGGGTCAGCATGACCTGTGGAATTTTTAACAGATGTGTTACAGAGTATCCCCTGTATGTAATGTACTGCAATTTTGGTTGTGAGGTACAAAAAATGCATGGGTGGTGGTTGTTTAACACAGGAAGTGAATAGAGGATGAGCCATGATCATGTTGAATAATGCTGTTGAGTACTTTGTTCCATTGCAGCAAAGCTACACAATTACTAGGAATCTGTGTATGCTCAGATATTTTATTACCATCAGAATATCACTGAATCTTGCTGTTGGTTATATTTTGCAGAAAAACTCAAAAATTCTAATCCTAAATAAAGATGGTGACTGGTGGAAAGGTGAATGTGATGGCCAGGTATTAGACTTAGGTCTATTAGTATGTTTAACTTACTTAGAATTATTTAGGAGCCCAATCACATGCAACACATTTTCTTGTGTTTCAACTTCACTCTACTGCTAGAGCAGAGTGAGGATATAAGTTAGTAATATTTGAATAAAGGTAACAAAAGACAGACTGAGACCTTAGGCTAGGCATTCTGATGTTGTGGAAGTTGTAGAACATTAAACATTGGGGCCCGGTTGTACAAAGAGTGTATAGCTCTATCCAATGGATAAATCTTATTCAGTGGATAAAATTATTTATTGGATAACAGCATGGACTTATCCACTGAATATTAAAGCATTTATTCATTGGATATTACTATCCACCCTTCATACAATCGGGCTCTGTCTTTTCATAATTTTCAGTATTAAAATTAATTATTAATATTCTTCTTCATTCATTTATTTATTTTTGTACAGGTTGGATATTTCCCATCCAATTATGTTGAAGAAATAAAAGAATAAAATATAGGAACCTACTACAAAGTAAACAAAAGTTTTTATTTGGAGTACCGAGTCAAGTAGTCAAGAATATTTTGGTGAAGTTGTGGAAATATTCTTTTTGAAATCCTCATTATTTCTGAACTATATCTCTGCAGTGTGCAAATGTGATGTCATAGTTTATTTCCAATGTGCATCACGATTATCACATTAAATAAATGCCTAGGGGAGAGGTCCATAGGCTATTGTAAAAATAATCATTATACAAAAGAAAAAATGATTTTTCAAGAAAATAATATTATTAATAGTATCAAAGTCTCTATAAAACATTGTAAAATCATGAAATATTATTATAATTATGAAATGTTCAGGTAAATGTAAAAAGCTTTGGATTTTATCGTTTTTCATTCATGAACTCAAAAATTTGTTTCAAATTGCCCTATTTCATAATGATGTCACATCAAAACAGTCTTTTGTTTTAACGCAAAGGATCATGGTCCCCAGAGGGGGACAGAATGACAACAACACAAAGAAAAAAAACACAATACATTGCATTTACAAAACAGAAAAGGGAGGAATAACAACAAAGTACTATTAATATCGAAGGATCTTGATCTTGAAACATAACATATATGGAAACTGGACAATTTGAAGCCAAAATTTCGGTGAGAAAGAAGATTTTGTCAAATTCCCTTTGTTCTTGGTGATTCTGTCCCCCTTGTAAACAAACTGTGACGTCAATATGAAATAGGGCAATTGAAAGAAGAATTTAAATTGCATTTTACTCCCATGTCTACTGATTTAGAAGTTTTACTGTAAAGGGGCCAACGAGGGGGAGGGGCTGGGGGGCTGTAGCCCCCCCACTTTTTTCCCAGATTGTGAAAGTAAGCAAGCTAGTCCTTGTAAATCCATAACCAGTGCATCTGGAGAAAGACCATTTTCAGCAGCTTAACGATTAAAGACATGGCTGAGAACATGACCCAGAAACGAGCAATAATCTTGTACTTCTTCACAACTGATTCTTTGGATACAAAGCCATCACGATTCTTTTCAGTGACATAAATAAAAATCAGAAAAGAAACTTTGGGAAATTCAAGAAGCAGATCTAAAGTTCTATCAGTATGTGATGTGAACAGGCAACATACACGCATAACACATTTTTTTATTTCCATTAATTTGTTTTTAGCTTACAGTAGCATGATAGTTTTTTGAGAAGTTTAAAATTGTAAAATGTCCTGGGGGCATGCCCAAGGACCCCCTAGTTTGCTCCTGCCTCCAGCGGTTGATAGCCCCCCACTCTAAGGGGCGCTCTGCAGCCCCTGCTGTAGATAATAGTTTGCCTGATAGAAAGTATGGAAGGAAAGGGTAGGTAGGTATGGGAATCATGATTCAAACAAATCTTGACTGCCAAAAGCAGCCTATTTTACTAGAATTGATCATACTATTCTAACTACCTAAAATAATGGTGAGTATTTACATAATTGATATTACATCATACCTTGCCCTGTATGAATTATATTACCACAAACACTCCCTTTTGTGTCATCCTCATGCCTCTGAGCTGTTCTGACTTCCCACCTAACTCACATGAGGCTTTGCAGAACTGTTTACCTGCCAGTATACCTCTGTCCAATTAAGTCAAGTCTTAAAGGGGGCTGTAAGAAAATAAGTTTTTTTGATGAGAAATCTTCATTCCCCCCAAAGCCCAAAAATTCTTATGATGACGTCAAAATTGTTAGACCGGAAACGGAAATAAAAAGTAAAACAGAAATATGAATTTGATACCAGGCTGCGCGCGGAAAGCCGAGCTCCTCAGGTTCGACTGCCAAGATGGCGGCCTCTTGGCGAGAGAGCATTGATAGTCTAATATCAACTGCTTCTTCACCGAAGTCTTCTATTCCCGTAATATGTGCAACGATATGTAAAAGGTATGCCTTTGCACCGTTATTTGTATGGTTTGGGTGTTTTTATTTAGAGGTTCTTGTGCTACGTTTGTTTCACCGTTGTCTGTATTTGAGCAAGTCTACATAAGCTTTCAATTTTTAATAACGTAACGACATTTCCTAAAATAAGGCCTCTCATGGCTTTTCTCTGGTGAAAACATCAATGCATTTTAATTTTTTTATACAGTTACTTGTAATTCGTCATTCGTTTTCAAACGAACCGATGAGAACTAAGAAAATAAACCTCAGAAAATCGAAAGATACTAAATAAGCTTTCCGGTTTCTTTTCGATACCCGACCGTACTTCGTAAGAATTTTTGGGTGTTTAACGGGGGGGAAGGGGACTATAAAAGGGAGGGGGAAACGTCTGAAATATGTTCTATTTATAGGCAAACATCGAACTAAACATGAACTTAATCAGCCAAGCCTATTAATCTTAAAATAGGCTCAATGGTATTCCATAGGATCTACAGTAGTCTAGGATGAGTTCGACTAGTCAAAGTTGGATATTCCAACTCTGGAGTGACTTAGCAGCAAACTTTGTTTTAAACAAGCGTGGAAGTAAATTGAAATTATTCAAAATAGTAAATGCATTGAGCAAATTTCATGAATTATGAAAATATGAAAACGAACAAACACTTATTCATCCTAGTGAGCATTTGCTGTAGAAACATTATTTCAAAAACAATATTGACTCAAAACAAACATTTTAACAAAAGGATTTGTTGGATGTTCTTTTGTCACCCAGTAATTCATCTTCAGAGTCAAGTTAAAAAAATGAGAGACAGTTGATAGTATTTATACTTCTAGTTCAGTCATAATGTAAACGGTATTATTAGTCTGTATTGTTCTGTAAAGATGATTGCTTTTTATAGAATGTACACTGTACAAACATGAGATGATTAGTATGAGCTGTAGTCACTGAGGGTGGTCACTGCCAGATTTTTTACATTCTCGGTGGTCCTTTAAAGACCCTCCAATATTGGTTAGAATGATGAAGTGTGAAGAGATGTGACCACCATTCGAAGTCATCAAAGCTACTCAAAAGTTTGACCATTTGTAGATGTATTTTCAAAGGCAGCACTTTCTCCTCAGTTATTGTAAGACCCTAAGTGTTGGTCCAGCCGGGACTCAAACCACGACCTCCTACACGAAAGTCTGATGCTCAACCAGCTGACCCAACCAGTTGGCAGAATTACAATTTTGCTGTTGGGAGGCTCATAACTGTGTTTAGACTTACAGTATGTAAGGCAGACAAGAAAAAGTCAATTTTTGGAGTAGCTTTTCTATTTCATAGCTTTAAATATCCTGTTCATTTTTTAAAATATGTACACTTAATTTAATTGTTTGACATCATCTGGTTTTTACTTTGTTTTAGTGAGGATTTGATATTTGAAGATGATGATGAAATTGAGGGGTTTATACCACCATTTGTAGCCCTTGCATCTCATAGCATTGGCCTAAACATCAGTCAATGTAAGTACTAAGAAACCAAGGGGGTTGTTGCAATTACTGCAGTTTTCAATATTCTGCAAACTTGGTAGTTGTTAGCTGCATGCTAAAATTTTAATTTAATTTTTTTTTGCCGTTGTCAATCAAAAAAATTACCTTTTATATTCTTTACTGGTGGCAGTGAAAATCCAATTTCACAACCAGCAGTCAAAATGTCGGAGTTCACAGAATATGGAAAATCTCAAGAAGCACACTCACCTCTAAACTAGAGATGGAGTCTCAGGTTCTATTTCTGGACTTGACATTTAATTTTAGTAGATTTTGTTAGGTCTGTCCCTCATTTCAATGGTTTTTCCCAAGGTACTCAAGTTTTCCTCCCTCTGCAAAACCTAATAAGCAAAATTCCAATTCAATCTATGAGTTGATGATGCCCTGACTTTGATCTGCCCCTGATTTGTTTCCAAGATATTATTCAAATTTGAAGGTGTTTTAACTTTTTCATACTGAATGAATGCTATGTTGCATAGATGTAGACAGCATGTGTACTGATAATTATTATGACATGACAGTCATTGAACCAGTCATGGAGTTTCTGCAAAATGCACACCACAGTAATTTATCTCTGCTCTAGAGATTGCAAAACCTAACAATCTAAATTTGAAGGATTAGTTTTTGCATTAGTCACTTAAAATCCTTTGTGTTTCTTTTCCTCTTGGGAGTTCACATTTTACTTCTTCCTGGGAATAGGGTAGCTCACCTTATTCTCCCCATGGTTCAAGGACCTGTTTGCACCACAGGTAGCCCAAGCTTGGCTTCCGTGGTGTCCTGTTATAAGGAAGTGTATGGGAATTCATCAAAAAATTTTAAATAAAATCATTGAAACATGAAATAACGCCTCAAAATTTTGCCCGATCATTGAGAAATAGCACTTCTTTTGCTCTGCGTGGTTATTTTTTGAATTTAGCCTGTTTTAAGATTTTTTCCCCACCAGTAAGAAATAAGAGAAGGTTGCAGACTCAAGTCCTAAAAGCAAACCATCACGAGTCTTTGAAACCTCGTACGTCTTCGAATTTTCTTTCCAGCGCCAAATTTTAGTCATGACCCTTCTCTCACATCCCTATAGAACCAAAAAAGTCGCATTAGAGACTAGTCTTCACCTGTTTAAGCCATGAAATTTGCCTGTATTCATATAGGACTTCGCTTGTTCTGACCCATACTTGGAGCTCACTGTACACCAGTTCAACGGATTTCTTTCAGCAACCGACCCGAGGTCACGCCGGAAGTCTTCGTATCGTAAATGCAGCTTGAATTTGGATAAAGTCTTTCTTCGAAATTATAAGTTAAATACTTTTGTATCTTAGACCGTTAAAAAATACACTCACCATAATTTCAAAGAAAGACTATATCCGAATCCGCATTTACGGTGCGAAGACGTCCGGCGTGACCTCGGGTCGATTGACAAAGGAAATCCGTTGAACTGGTGTACAGTGAGCTCCAAGTATGGGTTAGAACAAGCGACCGAGAGCCAAATATTTTCCTGTACGGCCCGACTAACTCAGTCAATAAGCATATTATCATATGACCCTCACGAAAAAATCGATAAAAAGTAAAAGAAAGAAAGAAATAGTAAATAAAAGCTAAAAAAGAGAAAGCGCGCGGATTCGAGCAGGGCCGTACGCATCGGTACGGCCCTGCTCGCTCAAAGCCGTCTGGCCCCCATCACATGACTTTTTCCAATGGTTTTATTAGAGCGCGCGAGCAGGGCCGTACGGGTCATATGATAGTACTAATTAATACTATTTAATGTTCACAGTTTTAGTGCGTGCACTCTAATATGGCTAATGTATGATCAAGTGAATGTACTTTTCAATAGGCCATTCACACATGACTAGCATCCTTAATGCATCTAAAATACTTCTGAAGTTTTGTCTGAAAGAGTTAAAGAAGACAAAAGACTTTTCTATTTTGTCAAAGGTAAGTGATTAATGTTGTATAGCTATGCACATTTAAGCTACCATGACATGTTCCACTAGGGTTTTCCAAAAGGGTTTAGTTTAGTTTAATGAAGTATTTTGATTATGTGGATAGAAACAAATGTCCAATTTCAAACCCTCATTTTATGGGAAACAATAAACATTTCATAATAATTAAGCTAAATATTATTTGATTAAATTGCAAAAGTCTGAAATCCCAATTTCCCTCCAGTATGAATTTTTAATTATTGAATCATCAAGATATTATCAACTATTTTAAACTATATATGTATTCTTTAATAAATCCACAGAAACAGCTGGTATCGATAATTGAAGGTCTATGCAAAGGCCATGGTTCTCTTCACAAAACAGACATCATTGATTTTAGTAACCTTCTCAAAGTTGCAACCATCCCATCTAAACTAGAAACTGTCACAGAGGACAAGAATATACCAAATAATGAGGTGTTTCAAAAGGGATCATTTTTCCACACATTACAGATGGCATATGCTGCTCATGAAGAGGAATCTTTTGAAGATCATAGTAAAGGGTACAGCTTGTCTTGATTAGTAAAATATAGTAGAATTAATATAGTACTAGAATAAACACAGAGTCTGAAGGTATTATATATATTTTGTCTAATTAGTTTTCGAAAGAGTTATGAACATTGTCGTGGTTACTCATTGGAATGGGATTCCTATGGTTTAGAAGTTTGAAGATTAACTGACATGTATATTTTGAATCTCATTTAAGGTAGTTCTGGACCTTTGCTACTGAGTGTCCATTTACTGTATATTTATTTTACTGTTTATCAGCGTTGTTTTGAAATTTTCTCAAAATAATATTTCACTTTGACTATCTTCCTGACCTGACAAAAGATTTTGTAATTTCATGCAAATTTTGATGTAAAATTGGACGTTTTTTGAGACATGCTAAGATTTTTATTGCCTTACCTGGTCAGTTTTGTTTCAAAATAGACAAATATAAGACTTTGTACTTTGTTCTTTCAAAGCTCTCTTTTTCTGTTGCTAATTACGTAGACAAATATAATCTAAATAGTCAAAAATGTAGTTAAATCAATAAACACCAACCACAATTTTATTTTTCTTTCCAAATATTTCATGGATATCTGAAGCAAAGCGAGGATGCTTTTTGTGACAAATTTACAAATTTGAAAACCTCTCCAAGCATTTCTGTGGTTATGTTTTTCATCACTGTTTCCATAACTTTTACTTAATTTTTCAGATCAGAGTCAGACAAGTCTCAATTTATTGAAGAAAGAGAAAGGAGAGATGCAAAGAGTCACTTTTCTAATCATAATATCAGTGTTGTCCGTGAGCTGTCTGGTGGTCAGTTGCTGTTAGATCTGTGTTTAGCATTGCCCAATCTTTCCCAAATCAGTGCACTTTATGGAGTTAATCTAACTGAACAGCAACAAGTTACTCTCAACAGTATATCTAAAATGACTGTCTCAGAGGCACCTAAAATGACTCTCCCTATGTAAGTTGTTTGATAATAACTGAAGCATCCTAGTACTTGATCAATTCGTACCTAAATAATAATATTGTAATTTTCTGGACTGATGAAATAGTTATTCTCATTTATCACCAACTTTTTTTTGATTCCAGTACGACAGAGTCAGATCCAGGAATCTGTGGGTGGGGACATAAAAATTTAGTGTACTTAGAAGATTAACACTACAGTCTATATAAAATGAAACCAGATAATGTGTGGGGGTTTGCTCCCAGTGAATTTCTTAAAAATGAGTAAATAGTCAAAAATGTATTTCCTACATTAGATATTTTGGACAAAAAATAAGCTAAAAATTGCATCCCGTTAAGGCACAATTAGACAGCATAATTTTCTCTGCAACTTGTTTCACAACAGCATTGCGACACAAGTTGCAAGAGTGTTTGTACATTGTAACAGAGACTCAGTCCTTTCAGAATTAAAGTAGAAATGAATTCTACTTTTTAGAGCAATTGGGCTGTAGGCTACATGCTGCAATGCTCCATGCAACTTGTGTCACCTCACGTTAAACTGAATTTTAATATTGTATTGACCCTAAATGTGTAATAAACAAATTATTGCATGTTAATAGCCTGATATCGTTTTTATTCTTTTGTTTTCCATCTCTTTTGCACCAGCTTGCGGACTAGCTTGTTTGTAATATGATATGGAAACTTGTGAATAAAAATTATATCCAGCTCTTAACATGGGATAGTCTCTATTAATCCTATGGCAGCTAAGTTAACTTTTTGCAAACGTTTTCCATATTTTTCTTGCTTTATAGTATCCAGGAGCTATCATCAGAGCTTGTTCTTATATGCAGTATAGTGTCCCTACCAATTCTAGAGCCCCTGACATTAAGGCGTATCAACAAGATTGTTCTTTTAGCCCTGTGTTGCATTGATACTGCCCTGAAATTAGCTACAGGAAATTTTGTCATGGGTGATGGCATAGCTGCAGGGAAACAGACAAAGTCTTTTAAAACTGCTTCAAAAACTGTGAAAATGGATGAAGAACTTTTTGAAAAATCAGTGGAAAGCATAGTAGACACAAGCGTAAGTATTTGTTTACTATCAGTTGTTATCAGTTGCTAACAGTTCTTCTAGTAACCTGATTAAAATAAAAATGACAGGGGTAGGAGTAACTGGTATCCAAAAAAAAACTTGATTACATTGTGTTAATCTACTTGTTATTCAATTTCTATAGTTGAATATCTATGACACTATTTGTCATGTGATTGGTGTTTCATCACGTACTGGTGGCCAAACACTACAAAATCTACACCTGATGACAGTGTATACCGTAGAAAAGAGTGTGAAGGCTGTATTAGAACTTGATGGAGCTGTTAAGAGCCCAACATTCAAGGAACTCGCAAGCTTTAAGATAAAAAGGTACTAGGTTAACAGTCAGAGTGAATTTGTATAAAATTGCAGTTTTACATGCTAATGTGGTCTAATAATAATGAATATGACCCCGTACGCCACACTTTCTATGAAGTAATCTATATATAAGTATTAGTAAAAACTATTCTTATTGTTCACAACATTATTTGGATGCTATAATCAATTATTTTCTTTTTAGTTTGCAAGGTAGTAATGCATATGTGGCTAGTATAGCTTCAAAAGGTATCATTCTGCTTGCTTCCCTTATGGAGGAATTGCAAGTTGAAGGCGAAGGAATGGAATCATCTGATGATGTCACCTGTGGACAAGATATCACTATCACAACCAACTGTTCTGCTCGTCATAGAGTTAAAAGGCTATTGCAAGATATTCCACTGATGCAGATGCTGTTGAAACAATTCTCTTCCTTGTATAAAAAGGTATAGCAGTTTTTGTGTACTAAGTTTCTGTGCATGGAGAATTTCCATTTCATCCAAAATTTTCTCTCTTAGGCATTCAGCATACAATCCTTTCAGAGCTTAGCTAAACCTAAAGCAAAGGCAGACAAGTCCAGGTCCCCAAACACCTCATCATCAGATGATGCAGACAGTGAATACATCTCTTATTCAGAGGATAGTAGTGAAGGTATGGACATGATGGAGATGACATTATAATTGCTCAGTGTAATAGAAGTTAATGCCAGCTGCTCATAGTATAGAGTCATCAGCTGGATTTATGTACCAATAATTATTACAAGATCATTACAAGAAAAAAACAGTGATAATGTTAAATCATTGAAGACAATTGTTCTTTTCACTTATTCATAACATGAGAAGAGGAATCATTATTTGGCCGATGGTTTGAGTCAACATTAGCCTGTCCAGAAATGGCTGAACAGCCCTGCAGTAAGAGCACAAAGACATCTAAAGATGAGAAACAACCTGAAGATGAGTCAAATCCTTCTACATGTAAAGGAGCTCACAAGGTATTCATTCCATCAAACCATCACTTTCACTCCTCCAGATTCAGCTTAATACATTTATAAATTGCTTATTTTTCTATTCATGACAAAATGTTTTTATTTTTACTATTAATTTAACAGTTTCTGTCACTGGCAACTAACACACTGCAGTTTGTAGTGAAACATCTTCTAATGAACTCCATTCCTGAAGTACGGGAATATGTCAGGCTGTCTTTTACAGAAGAACAAATGTCAGACTTTGCTGGAATCCTAAATGAACTTCAAACTGATACAAACAAGCTAAAGCATGTCCCAGGGTTTGATAATCTCTGTGCTGCCATAGATGAGACAATCCATTTGATGTTGGTTGAAGAACTACTGCCAGAAGAATATCAGGTGAATATTTATCATACTTTATCTACATTGGCTGAATTGTTTTGGTGATATCTCAATAATGGTTAATGTTATACTATATTAGTAGTTATGGGAAAAACCTTACTTAACAAGTGATCAAATAAATTGCAAAATACCAATGCTGTGTGTACCAGAAGTCTCTGTGGTGAATACAGCATTACTTGAATAAACTTTAATTTAAACTAATCAGCAACTCTTCTCTTTAAATGTGCTTTAAATCATAACTACAAAATGAAATCAAAAAACTATTTGAATTTCACACACAGGATTCCTTGCTTGTCTTCCTTGGATTGTCACCCAAGTGCAAGGACAGTTGGCCTTTGAGAATCCAGTCAACAAGTCTGGGAATCTTAGCAAGGGTTTTGTTAGCTAGACAACAAAAGGCATTCAAGATGAACAAAGGAAATATGGATATTCCAGAGTGCACTGGTATTTGGTTCAGGCTGATAGATACACTAGAAAAGGCTGCAGTAGCTGAACTTGCATTCCTGGAAAACCAAGGTAGCCCATTCATATTTGCTTTATTTTGTAAAACTAAAGTCATTATCACAGACATCCAGACATCCAAACAGAGTATCCCAAATTGACTACTCACTAGAGTATTCCAAATTACCCAGAGAAAGTACTTCAAACATTGTTCCAGGCCCAAAAAATCCTAAACAGAGTATTCTAGTCAAGGTACCACAAAATAAGTACCTTAATAGACAAAGCAAGGTCCCCAAAGTATTCCAAAATACCCGAGCACCTGAACTACAGTACCTCAAGCAAGGTACCAGAGAAAACAAAGGTACCAAGCAAAGTACAGTGCATGGTTAATATATACAGTGTAGCAATTTAACTTATGTTTTATTTCCAGATTTGAATGTTGAACACCTGCAGCTTCTGTTGTTTGTGTTCCACAATCTATCGTTATCTCAGCGTGAAAAGATAATGGTCTTGTGTGCAAAGGCATTGATTAGAGTGTCAAACTTCCCTGATCTAGCCAAAACTGTTCCGGTAGCATTATCAAGATTATTGCTTATACAAGATTATTTTCTGCACCATTTTTCTAATCCTCCAAAAGAACTCTTCACACAGGTAGATTTTTCTATTTATGTCCATATTATTTGTTTATTTGTTTGTTCTTAATTTAATTACAACCTTTTTAACATTAAATTTATGAAGGTGCAGAGAAACCTCTTTAGACCACACAATGCTATTGGCCCAGTCAATGAAGAGGACCCCTTAGCAGAGATAATGTACTTTATTTTCATGAGTCAAGAAGAACATAACTATCAGCATGCTTGTTTGAAGTACTACACTGCTAACGGCAAAACTGTAAAGGCTTGTGATGTGATTACTATGTTCCCAAGATTCTATGATATTAGACCAGCAGAAGGTTATCAAAATCTTGACAGTAAGGTAGGGTGATTACTAAATTATTAATTAATATTAGATTTGCCACAAGTTGGGTTATCACAGAAAATACATTCAATAATTTAAAATTTTCTTTATTTAAGTGTCTAGTCATTCTAGCCCTTTCACACTCTAATTAGGGGACACTTTTCACTCCCATGCACTATCACTACATTCAATGTTCTATGCACACAATGCTCAACTCACATGTTGATTTTTATGGAGGGAGGAAAGTAGAGAACCCATAGCATAGGAGAGAACAACACATCAAACAACTCAATTAACATATTGGTGTCCGTAGGGCTTGAACCAGTGACCCGGACCTTAAGACTCACACGGTGAAAGATGAAGCATTAGCAGCGTACACTGCCCATGCTACCAATGAACATTTTTTCTTATTAATTCTTTTTTTTCCTCAAGGCATGTGAAATACTGTTGCACATGGAAGATGAAGCAAGCAGTTACAATGAATACTACTCTGCAGTATTGACACTGCTGAAAGCAGGAAGAGAATGTGATAAGATGTTCCATTCTGGTGAGGTTGAAATGACACCATTAGATGCATCATTCACCAGGCATAGCTTTGGACTCTGCTGGAGGTTACTGGGATGTCTTCCTCCTTCTTTAAAGTACTTTAAAAGTTTGGCTGGAGAATTGGATTATTGCAATGAAAACGATGTTGTAAGTTTAATGTTTTTCAATTTTTTTAATTATTTATTTACTTATCTTCCTATTTAGTTCTGAATTTCCCTTGTATTTAATGCATTTTAAGAGTGTTTTTAACGGGTCCAGTGTCCTCACTGTTCAGTATTAGTCAAACTTTGGTCAGTTACTAAATTTTGTAGAACCCTATGCAATGAGCATTTGAAAGATTTCCATATTAAATCAAATGCTTGACTGGGGAATAATTTTATTACAACTGAAGGATCACTTTTTGTCTAGTGAATGTGCATAGTTGCAGAGTAAGAAGGTAAATATTGATAGAGTCATTACAAGCAATTAAAATGTGAGCATGCTTTTCCTTTTCCCTGGCTTTTTGCATGGGCTCTATAGAAGACCTAACTCTTTGATCAAATAGTGACAGGCCAGAATCAAGAATGAAGCTCAGAATTTAGTATTAAATACTCTTTTAACTCCTTTTTTCCTTTTTTCTTATTATTTCCTTTCCTAACCCTAAAACCTTTTCCTTTCAATCAGTTCCTTGGCTAATGGTTTTAAAAAATTCATCCTTCTGAATTTTAGCAGATTATTCTCTTGTTCTTTCTCTAACTTTCTGTTTTCTATGTCAGTGAAAAATGTTAAATTCTGTCATCATACTAGGATTTACAGATGTCAGTGATGTTGTGTAACCTAAGATGGTTAGCAAGATTTTGTTCAAAGATGGAGCCCAAATACTTGGACACATTTAAGGTATCTTAATGTTTATAAAATTCTTGCTGCAAGCTAAAGGACATTAAAAATTAATATGGTAGGGTTAGGGTTAGTCAGTCCAATTTGATTTGGTAAATTGTCCATGATGTACACTTCAAGCTTCTATGTGAATATGCAGAAACTGACAGTCTATGATGGATAAAGGTTTAAGTGGAAACCAAAACGTTCTAAAAAAATACTATTATATTTAAACAATCTCAAACAGTCAATTTATTACAGGACTTCCTTAAAATCTCAACAAAATTACAAAGGACTAAACAAAGTAGAAATTGAAAGGAAAATAACCCAATCTATGAAAAAGTGTAACTGTATCCATGAGTTTTGCAAAGGGCAGTTTGATCAATACTGTAGATGTACCAAATCAGGAGGAAAAGAGCAAGAGTGATATGGCTTAATTTTAACTTGAGTTAATCTAAATTGTTAACAGGGTTGGCTACTACAACAAGGCATGACAATGTATGAAACTCAATATCTACTTGACAAAGTGGCCAAAAATGATTCAACTCTGCATTCAAGCATCATCACTGCTAAAAACTACTTAGAAAAGGTGACATTATTTTACTGTCTAGTCCACTGATCACATCTGATAATTTTTTCCTATCCATCTCTTTTCCTTGTAGCCAAGTACGTGGTTCTTGAAATAAAAATTCTTATTTCTTCAGTCAAAACGAGTTTTTGTCAGGTCAAAGGTTATTGTGTAATTTAAGATGGAGAGTATAGTAAAGAGTATATACAAAACTGCATAAACTGGTTAAAAGATATACAAAAGTGGTACATTTTTATTTAGAAAAAAAAACACTATTTAAAAGGGGTGCACTTTTGAATAAATTCGATAAGAGAAAAAATAATTGTTTGCAAGTTCTAAAAATAAAATACACCTAAAATGTTTCAAAGTACCCCCTCCTACCAAATAGCAGTACATAATAAATATTAGGTGTTAAATAAGCTCCAGCATATATACCAGCACATTAGGCAACCCAATGCATGCTCCAAGAGCGTCTTGTTTTTATTACTTTGACATAATCATATATTTATGTTTCACAGGTTTCAGAGTCATATGATTCAGCTGAGATCTCCAGCATCTCTCAACTCCCAAGTATCTTCTGTATTACTCTCCTCGATGTCGTTGTTGCTAAAACACACATAGCACTGAGCAAAATCTTTGGTAACACTGAGGAAGACCCAGACTTGACTCAGATCATGCAAGTTGCTAAGGACCTGGTGCCTACATTAATCAAACTTGTACCCATTTACCAGAAATTTGCCAGGTTAATATATATTAACAACTCTCACTTTAATAACTATGTTTATTCATATTTCCTGTTACCTTTGGTAATAACCACTGTTATAAATTTATTGATCAGGTTCTATGTACTGTCACATGCTGCTAATGAACAGAAGAAAAGCGGCACTTTACCAGATGAGAAAAAGAGTGTTCTGTCAGATGATGCTCTTGCAGCATACTCCAATGTTATCCAAATAGGCTGCATGAGATTACCCAAACAGTCCTCTCTATCAATGGCTGTCGTAGCAGGTATGACTGGAACTTCTAAACTTGTAAAACTGTTTTTGGGGGTTCTTTCAGACTTTGCCAGCAGGTCTACTAGAAATGTCAGGAGGTTGTCAGGATGGTGCAAAACACTATTAGCCTTAGATTGTTTAAATAATGGTTTTTTTACTAGGTTGCCTGTGGCAAATCAGTCTAAAAATGCCTTCAGTTTTTTCCTCCTAGACAAAACGGAAAAACTGTGCAATAATACCCAGGGGTCTCTATGGCATTACTCAAGAGCCTTTGCAGGCATATGATATAGGGATCCTGTGTATAATCTGATATTAATCAATCAATGTCACCACTTTACCAATGTGATTGATTTGGGGTGGGGCTATGTATCAAGTGATGGAAATGAATGCCTATGCAATCAATGACATACGTTTCGTTAGCTGCTGAAATTTGATTCCAAGGGAAAAATTAGTTTTGCATATTAGAACTTTTTAAATCAGCTGGTAAAGCAAAATTTATAAGATTTTCAATGTTATGAAAGGATTTGCTTGTTATTTATCTTAATTTTAATTCAGCTACGTACTGGAAGAAGTATTGTCAAACAGTATTCTATGCTTGATATTATATATTATTAAAAAATCTCATAATCCAGCTATTGTTATAGGGAACAATAGCACATAACTAAAACATGTGCTTGCTTCTGGTTTGACTTAAGTCGCAATTTACCACTTTCGCACCAGCATCCACGTAGTATAAATAATACAATTATTGTATTGGATTGTGTTGGTTTTCAGATTTCGGTACAAATGTACTGACTTTTAAACAAACATTCACTTTATTTGTTTAGTTAGCTCCCTAAATCCAATCAAAATATTATTTTTCTATTTTGATTGAAGCTTTTCTTACTACTATTTAGAGAAACAGACAAACAATTGAAGTAAATAATGTTCAAAAGCCAGTACATTCAAATTTTTTGGTGACCTTAACACAATCCAATGCAATTTACACCATGTGATGGCTAGTGAGAAAATGGAGCAGATCTTGTTTCTGCCCTTGCGTTCATTCTAGAATTTCCAGCCAACTGAAGTTTAATAGTGCTGAATCAAAAATGTTTAAATTTTATGTTCAGAAGGTTTTGAAAGAAATTGCTGGAGTCAATTTAGAGAAAATAGAATCTTTCTCAGGTTGCCCAGTTTATGCTCTAAGAGCATCTTGTTTGTTTGTTTCTCATTTATTTTTAAAATGACAACTAACTGCATCATCATTTTTTCTTTTCTATTTTGTTTGCAGGGTTGCCTACAATTATACAAAATGCACTTGAAAAATGGAATAGCACCCTTCTTACACATTTTCCATCCACTTCCTCTTGGAGTAACAATGCTGGTGATGAAGGGAACTCAGTTTCCATAGAATCATTCCTTGATTCTCTTGTGTCTGCCCAGATGTCATCCATGGCTGCCAGCAATCCCTTTGAAATGGCACCAGGCTTGAAACATTCTTTACAGTCACTTGTACAGCTCATTGCTGACCTTGTCATGTAAGTATTATTACTTTCAATTTTTATAGTAATTTTAAGTATGTCAAACTCTTAGTTGTGTACCATGGGAGCTACACACATTGTGTCCAATAGAGCTCACAAGCAATGATGAACATGTTTTTAGCTTCCCTTCAGTTGAGTTATAGTAAGTAGTAGTTATGTAAGTCTAGTTGGCAGGGACTAAAAACCCTAATATCAAGAAGATGTAAGGGTGATAAAATACTTGCGTACTATCTATATTAATAGTCAGTCTTTGTTTGCTGTCTCTAGGTGGTGTCCAAAGGAACAAGGATCAATACACAATCTGTATGGCAAAGAGTTGACTGGGAACCTCTGTCCATTATTGTTGGATGCTACAACTGAGTACCTGAATGAAACAGCTACAGGAATTCTGGAAAGGATTGTAGGACCTGCTGATGGGGAGCAATTTGCCACTAACATCCAGTTTTATGTCTTGTTAAATTGTCAGAAGCTGCTAACAGAACAGTCTTTGGTAGAAAAAGAAAAGTAAGTAGTCAACCGAAAACATATGTTAAATAAAATTCAGATATCATTCTTCTTGCTATATTTTTCTATAGTCATGGGCTAATAAATGTTCCTTTGGGAATTCAAACTCTAGATCTGTTATTGGTGAGGAAGTTATGCTGGATTGTTTGAAGTACATAGAATCTTTAATGGATAGGCAGTCTGGCCGCAGTCTTTTGGAGAGTTTCTACACAGATGGGAGAGAACTCATCAAAATAATCTTATTATCATCAAAGTGTACAGTCTCCTTGACCTATGTTAACAAGACACTCAAACTTGCTGTTAGGATATTACAGCTTGGTAAGACATATCTATTTTATAGACAAGCTAAACCTTTTTACTGACATTAAGCTTCTTATCTCACTATTGGCCGATCTTTGTTTAAGTTTTTTCCTCATTAGCATAAAAAATTCAAGCTACAAGCAAACCAACTCCAGAAATCGAAAGAGAATATCTTATTTAGCAACTACCTAATATTTGAGAGTAATATGCTCAATAATTTGGGAGTAAATTTTTTTGAAAACACTATAAATTACAAAGAAATGTATGGTTGTGTAGCAAGTCTTGCCACACGACCATACATTTCTTTGTAAATCATACCGCTTTCAATGTGTATTATATTTGAATATAGACATGTAAAAATGCACAGTAGGGCAAAGTCAGTCGACCTAGATTAACAACATGCCAAAGCCATGATGCATAAAATGTGCACAGGAAGGCAATATAATAGCATAATTGTTTGTTTTCCCATGCTCCCCTTTGATCTTAGCTTTGATGATATATCCTTTTTTTGAACCCGACAACGTTTTTTCAATTAGGTGTATATAGATCTAAAAGTTACAGAAAATCCTAGTTATAAGCAAAAATAAATTGTGTGAGGTTGCTGAAATAGTTTAAACTTTCACATCAGCAGCCACTTTGCTCTATGGTGTTTCCAATGCTCTAACTTGGTCCTGTTTTTTATTATCATTGATGTGTTTAGCAGAAAAACATCCCTCAGATTCAACCATCAAATCTCTTGCAAGGTGTTTCTCAGAATTTCAAACAGTTGGTCCTCAAGAGCTTGAAGAGTGGCTAAAGAGAATTGTGATTGGAATTGAAGAAGATTGTGAAAACACTGGCAAAATGGCTGACAACAGACTGTTGTTGCAAGCCTTTGCTTCTCATCTTGTCAAAGAAGTAAGGTAAGAAAATCTGCAGAGAATGCAGATATTAATAGTGTGTCAAAAATGGTAAATGATAAAATTTAAGCCATTTGTCAATTAAAAATGAAGAATTCAGTAGGAAAAGTTAGCTCATCTATGTTGCATTGATGCTAAATTTACAGATTAAGTAGTACATATTATTAAATCGACCTTGATCTCCTGCACATTATTTTTACATAAATTACTGAACAAGACTGGTTGATTCTCTGTTCTTCTAGTTTTGTGAGTGAAGCAACTTGTACCAGCATTCTTGAAGCTTTGGTACCTATTGGGGATACACTACTCTCTATGACTGGTTCTGAAGCAGCATGCATTGGTGCTAAGCTAAGTGATGTTATTCATACAGCTTCAATATTGGCTAGTGCAGACCAGGGAAAAGGCCATTCTCTACTATGTAAGGCAGCTATTGGTTGGCTTCAAACCTGGTATGTATAGTGCATGTTATTAACCTAATATTGTTGATCAAATAAATATGTTTTACAAAAATAAGGGACTGATCATTATATACATGGGGGGCTGGTGCAAATAGAGAGTGGGTCAACGATTTTTATGCAGGGAGAAGAGGGGGGTCATATAAGGACTCGTCAAAATATCAGTAGAGCTGTAGCCACTATTTCTTATCGATTTTGTCACCAAAAAACTAAGTAAACGACTAAATAAACAAATAAATACCGCACATGTCACTGAACAATATAAATTACAACCAACAACAGCACAATGAAAAGAAAGGGCATTTGACAGGACGTGGTGACAGGACAGAGTCTGGACAACCGCTCCCTTACAGTAAAAGGAATAAAAGAATACAACACAAATAAAGCAAGAAATAAGAACATAATAGGAAAGAGGAATGAAAACTTCTAAAATTGATAATTTACACACAAAAAGTAGAGTCAAAAATGCAAGCAACTAGTCATTTACAGCGGAGGGTAGGACGGAAATTTGTGCATAGTGTAATGTCAGCATGAAACTTATTCTTAAGCGATTATAGAATAGCACAGCTTTTAAAGTACTTTGGTATGTTGTTTCATAAGTCTACTGCACTAGGGGAAAAAGAAAACCTAAAGTAATTTTTCCTAAAAGTGAAGGTCTTGCAGTAGTTATTTGGATCCAAATTGTGATTAGCATAGCAGCTGGTGGAAAGAATAAATTACTTATTAGTCTAAGAGTCAATGTGCATAAGGCCAGATTTCAACTTCAAAAATAAAGTGATTTCCTTCAGTTGGACATTTTTGATAAATTCCTGGTGCTTTGCGGCATACAGAGACCATAAACAAGAACAATACTCAAGGTTAGGTCAAGGTTATGTACAATATAAAAGTTTTCTAGTATAATTGATATATTCAGTAATGTCCTGGCAGACTCTCTTTACAGGGTTCGTACAGTCTTCAAAAGTTCTTGATTTTTGGGATTGGTCTTGAAAAGTCCTTGAATGTTTAGAAAAAGTCCTTTAAAGGATCAATTAATTCCTTGAATAAAACTGAATGAATGTGCAACTTACAGTTTTAAAAAAAACATTGATAAAATAATACTGAAAAGATTTGATAAAAACATTGTTATGTATTTCTATTTTGGGCTGCGAAGAGGGCATAAGTAAAGTCATTAGCGACATAGTCAGGTAAGTCATTTGCATACACAAGACACTGCAGCTGTCCCAAAATTGAACCTTGAGGGACGCCCGAGGAGACAGGAAGCCGGCTATAATAGGCACCCTCTAGAACTACAAATAACTCCTGAAGCAATCTAGCAGGGGCCCCAAGATACCATAGAGCATCAAACCCCCCCCCCCCCCACAAATAATGGCCAGTCCTTAAATGAATGAAATTTACATTCTGTATTTGTATTGTTTAGCAAATCACATCTTCATAATGAAGAGATGGATGTCAAAGCTGAAGGCACTAAAGAGAGTAGTGCCATGGAAGTAGCTGCACCTCTGTTATCGTACCTGGCTGAAATGGTTCTTGCCCTGAAATACGTCCTAGAACAAGACACGCCAACATCTCCTACCTTAACCACACAGCAGGGCAGTAGTGATTTGGTTGTACAAGACCTGGAGACTGAATGGATGGATGATATAGCTGCCGAGGAAGAGGAATCTGGAGGAGAAGAATCTGTAAGAAACATGTCATGACAGCAGCTGAAAGGACAAAAAAGTGACAGCCTTTGTTTAAAATTGATTTATAATTTTGTCTTGTAGGATGAAGATTCTTTATGCAATAAGCTATGTACGTTCACCATCACTCAAAAAGACTTCATGAATCAACACTGGTACCATTGCCATACTTGTAAAATGAATGRTGGAGTAGGTGTCTGCACAATATGTGCTAAGGTTTGCCATAAAGATCATGATATTTCTTATGCCAAATATGGATCATTTTTCTGTGACTGTGGTGCAAAGGAGGATGCAAGCTGTCAGGTTTGTTAGAAATCCTCATTTCATTTTTCTCTTGGGATCATTGTTATTGTTAGTGTTAGTGGTGTTATTATCGAGTTATAGTCACATAATTTACCATATTTTGTTCAGCTGCTGCTTTTGATTTGCTGCAGTCGTTGTTGTCATCATTACTTCTCAATCATAACAATAATAACACTTTCATTTTTGATTAACAAGTGTGTACTGTGCTTTACTTTCTAGTCTTTAGTAAAACGCACCCCAAGTTCTTCAAAAGAAGGTGGTTCATCAACTGCAGCAGCAGCATTTGCAAATGGACAAGACTTAGATGAATGTGATGAAGACGAAAATGTTGGGAGATCAAAGAATAATTTAACATCATCTCAGCACATCTCTGCTAATGTCAGTGGAGTTGGAACAGATTTGGCTTCAGGTTCTTTAGATGAATGTGTGCAAGATGATGCATCAACTCCTTCTAAAGCCATCCAGACCTTGGCTAAGCAAATTGAGGTAACTGTTCTAAAGTAGACATATTCACAGATTGAATCTTCAAAAATTGCTTTTTTATGCTTTGTTCTGAATGCCTTTGTATTGAATGGACATTCTTCAGAAACATACAGATGTTCTTGTGAAGCAGCTACAGGATTGTTCGCTTAATACCACAATTATTCGGCTACTACAGACATTAATTGGTCCGGTTATAGAGAACTCAGGACCATCCAGTCAGGCAACAGGAGCTGCTCAACTCATTTATAATGCCATGGAAGATCTTCATTCACTTGATAAAACTGTAGAGACCACAGAACAATTGATGGTAGGTTATCATTGATTTAGGTTGTCTTGCCCTGGTTTCTTCTTTCATGCCACTGATGAGACTTGGTCTTACTAAGCCATAATAATAATAAGTGAGTTCTGTTTAAACTATGTAACTGGTTCATGCTTTGTTCATGCAGAATGTTTCTTTTACTTTATACAAGGTCCCAACTCTTGGGTCTCAAGAAGGTGCCTTTGAGAATGTTCGTATTACATTTAGTGGTGAGCAAGGTCAAGCTATACGACAGCTTATTGGAGCACATGTTCTCAGGCGTGTTGCTATGTGTTGTTTAGCTTCTCCCAAAGGAAAGAGGCAACATCTTGCTGTAAGCCATGAAAAGGGCAAGGTAAGCTGTAGTAGACAATAGTTTGTCATTTCTCTTGCTGCAGGTTAGCTCATTCCTTTGTTATTGTTCATGTTCAGATTACAGTTCTCCAGCTGTCAGCACTTTTAAAACAAGCAGATTCAAGCAAGCGAAAGCTGACCCTAACACGTCTAGCTACTGCCCAGGTCCCTTTCACAGTACTTTCCATCACAGGCAACCCATGTAATGAAGATTTCTTGGCTGTTTGTGGACTTAAGGACTGCCATGTTTTAACTTTTAGCTCATCAGGCTCTGTGGTAGACCACCTTGCATTACACCCTCAGCTGGAGACAGGCAACTTCATCATTAAGGCTGTGTGGTTACCAGGTTCACAGACCGAGCTGGCAGTAGTGACTGCTGATTTCATCAAGGTTGGTGATCACTACATAATATCTGGGTACTCAACAAATACAGAGTCACTTTATGTCTCTTTTACATATTTCAAACCCATTTTTTATTTGGATATCTCTTTCCCTTTTCTATTTTGGCAGATCTATGATCTTTCCAAAGATGCCCTGAGCCCATTGTTCTACTTTGTTCTCCCAAGCGGTAAAGTCCGTGATGTCAGTTTTGTCTTTCATGAACATGAACACAACATGGTCCTGATGTCATCTACAGGCCATATTTACCAGCAGCCAATGGATGATGACAGTAGTGCTACAGGAGGTCCATTTTACCTAACTAATATCCTACCAGTACAACACTCAGATCTGGAAGACACTAATGGACAAGTGGCTGGTGGTGGGGTGTCTGTGTACTTTTCACACACATTGCAAATCATATTGTTTAGTTATACACAAGGTATAAAAATCTCTTTTCTTACCATATTGGTTAACAAAAGATTATCCTTTCCAGTCATGATTCTTTCTTGTTTGGTATTTTAATTGGAGGAATGATGATAAATTGTGCTATGTTTATTATTCATTTCAAAGGATGAATTCATCATATGCTGTCACTCCCTGTGTCTTGAATGTTAGCTGCCTTAGAGTAGAGTAAATATTCTTTATAATTCTCATTTCCTATTGTGCCTATAGGTAAAACCTTTATGGCACCATGGACTCCTGGACAAAAAGAAATCCAGAAACTGTTCCCAATAACTTTTAAGAATAGCAACGGAGGTAATAAAAATGCCCATGCTGCACTCTACCAGTGGAATGAGGTACCTCAGCATCCTGGTCTTGTTTGCTGCATGACCCACACTAGTGGTATACCTGTGGTGCTCATGATCAAACCTGGACAGGTCTTGGTAAGTATGTGGAAATCATGATTTCAAAGTTATTACTAACTGCCCATAGTGGTACCAAATCAAGTCTACAGTAAATACTTCCATCTCTTTGCATTTTCTCAGATTCAAGAGATTAAAGCAGCTTCATCTAAATCAAAAACACAAGACATGGTAGCTATCCGTCACTCAGTGAACAGTTCTGATCAACAGAGAACCACCATGATACTACTGTGTGAGGATGGAAGCCTTCGTATCTATATGGCTAGTGCTGAACATACAGGATACTGGATGACACCATCTTTCCAGCCAGCAAGGTAATGTGGGAATATGACCACAAAACTTAATTTTTTTATCTAATAAGGAAATCCTCCAGTTTTTAATAAAGATTTCACACTTCCAAACTATATTTTAATATATTCTGATTATATACGTCAATATATTGTCAATTATCCCTTTGTTTTTGTAAATATCTCATTAAGGTCTTTTTCAAACTCGCTTATTACACCTTTTGCGGTATATTAACCGCAAAGGAATATTCATTGCAGCGAAGAAGCATTGTCAATAGAGCGAACAGGCATACAATAAGGCGAACTGAGTCTCAAGAGTGCGATGGAACTTTCATTAAGAAATTTAGCTTTGAATTTGACAATCATGAATATGTTTGCGTGGATTCATTAACGTTTTTGAACTTTCATTAGCGTTTTGGTGCAGACAATAAACCACAACACACATTCAATACAGTGTTTTGGACATTTATTTACACAATACAATATAAGTATATTGTGCTTTTACGATTGTAGATTTTCAAAGACAAAAAAGTGAACTTATCCTTGAATGTCTTCTCTATTTAAACATCTTGGACGATATGTTTGCATGTGGTTGTACCATTGTATGCATTTCTGTGGATCTTCATAGGCCCTCACAAGACGCTATCTGACTTCATTTGGAATTTGGCTTCTTTGTTGAGTCAATGCAATATCCAAAAAGAGGGATTAAAAAACTCAGAACTGATTTGATATTTATACCTAACGGCGCTTTGCTTGTACGAAGTCATATTCACGGCTTGTAAAAAAATGGAAAGACAGTTAAAATCCTACAATTCCTAGTGGAAAATATACTTATATCGTATTAATTAAGGACTTAAAACTGGAAACTGAGCCAGCAGGCTTGATATCATGAGGCAGAGATTTCCATAAATAAGGAGCAGCATAATAAAATGCTCTATATCCATAAGATCGTAAATTATAATTAGTCATGACTACATTATTACTTGATGACAATCTAAGAGTACGTCTAGGTTTATAGATGAAAAGGTAAATTATACACCGTGAAAAGATGAAAAAACTTACTGACGTTTCAGATGCTAGTCCTTCGTCGGAGTAAAAGAGCTTTAGAGCTCCTTCTTTTACTCCGACGAAGGACTAGCGTCCAAAACGTCAGTAAGTTTTTTCATCTTTTCACGGTGTATAATTTACCTTTTCATCATTACTGTTTCATTAGAAACACCGACGCAGCTCACACTAGTTTTTAGCTAGTTATATCTTTAGGTTTATAGATATTGACTAGACCAGATAATATATCCTGGAGCCTGTCCATTAAGGGCCTTATATATGTTAATAGTAATATCGTATTCTATATATCTTATTTTCCTTCTAAAAATCAAATAAGACTGGACTCAGTTAAGTTATTAGATTCAAACTTAAAAACACCCATTTCTGCCTCTTTTTTTTTTTTTTCTTTTTTTGTCATTTTACCAACTTTATAATTTTAATTTTGTCCTACAGACCTCTGGCAATTCTGCATCCGGCAAAAAAGAAAAAACTTTGCAAGACCAGAACTAAATCTACTTCTGTATCATTCCCTATTGATTTTTTTGAGCACTGTCAAGTTCTGAATGATTTAGAGTTTGGTGGTCCAGACATTTTGCATGTATACAATGCACAGCAGGCAAAACACAGGCTAATGACAGCTGGCATGTACCTAGCAAGCACTAAGGTAGGTGCTGGAAGGCTAGATAATTAACACTTGGTGTTATTTTGGTAATACTAATTTTTGTCCTCCATTGTAGTTATAATGTAATAATTTTGACTTAATCTAATATTATTGATATCTTTTCCTCACAGCCCAATGGCTTTACAATAGAAGTAGCTAATACCAACCCAGGATTAGTGATGGTGGGTGTGCGTGTGCTGGTTGGCTGTCAATCACTAGAGAAAGTCCCATCTTATATTGAGATCTTTGGTCGTGTTATCCCATTATCTCTAACAAGGAATCGATGGTTTGACCTGCCTTTTACTAGAGAAGAGTCACTCTCAGCGGACAAGAAATTTACAATCTTCTGTAAGTAAAATTATGAGAGCTGCTGATTGGTTAAAACAAGTTTCAATTTAGGTGCTTTTTGGTTGAGAGCGGTTTTAATTCAGCTGTTAATTGGTTAAGACAAGTTTCAAATTCATCTGCTGATTGGTTGAGGGGAATTTTGTTTCTACTACTAAAATTATCATGATCATCAATTTTTTGTGGTGTCATGATTTGCATGCATTATAAGGCCTTAACATTTCCTATCCGATCTAGTTTGTCCAGTTTTAAACAATTCCAGTTAGTTACATTAAACCCAGATTTCTTTCTCTTCATTTCCATTTTCCTTTTCTAGGTTGTTTTTGGTTTCCTCAAAAAATTCAGCTGATGAATTGGTTTAGTATCAATTTGGTGACTCAGGCACGTAAGAAATACTTCATTCATGTAATTCTTCTTACCTCTTTTAGTTGGCAAATCTTCAGATCCATCAGGGGTATCAATGGTTGACTCTATCAAAGTGTACGCCAAAACTAAAGAAGTATTTGGATGGCCTGACGACCCCCAGGAAGAGTTTGCTTCTAGTGGTGGATCAGGAATGGCTGGTCCAGCAAGTGTTGTACAGGAAAAGGAGATGATAACATGTATATCACCTGCTAGCCCATTTGATAAGTACGTTACACTAAATAGGATAAAATGACACTACTGACCATAGCTAATGTAGCAGAATGGTCGGGAAACCTATTGTTCTAGGTTTTTGTTCAACTTTATCCATTTTTTTTCAAATATGATTTTGACCAAGCCCAGAGAAGGAAAAGTTTCTCTGTTTGTGCACAGTATTAGGGAATATAAAAGTTTTCCCCCCTAAAAATCATTCTAAAATAGTAATTATTTGTTATTTATCATCTAGTAACTTAACTGTATCTGCACAGAAATTTTTATCTGCATGGTTTGTGGTCATCGAATGAAGGATTTCAAAATGTTCAATACACGAAAATAATGAGGAAATCAGTATTTTTAGCCATACTTGCTTTGGTTCATTCTGCACTGTCTGTATCACATGATTGTAGGGTTCAACCTCAAAAGCAAAAGCATAGCTGCTTTGTTCTATGGAGTTTTTCAAACCATTCTGCTTCATTAACTATGTACTGACAGTACAGTGATGGTGCAGGAATGAAATTACTATAGAATTAGAATACTAGCACTCACTCGGCAATGTCACAACTCTATTACTTAGAGACAAATCCTCTATGTGTTGGACAGCCACATATTGTGGTAGAAATAGTGTAGTGATGGTTTACTCGAAAGTTTATATTACTTAAACCATGACACTGCACACTCACTGCAGTAGTAACTGTTTATATGATTTTTTATATGATATATCTTTTTATAAAATCACAATTATACAAGGGCCGCGAAGCGGCCTGAAAGTATAATTGAAATTATATTAACAAACGAAGTGAGAAATATATGAGAAAACAATAGGTAGAATCCTGCCATTTGTGCTTCGGACCACATTTTAACGCACTCCACTCCCCTAGAGTTTAAATATTGATGACGTAATCCCAGAATCCCGTGCTGCACTAAGTGCGAGGTCACGTTGTACTTTTCATCTTTTTAACGCCTGTGTGAAGAGACTCCACGATGAGAAATATATGATGGGAATGACTAGTCATGTGTCAATATTTGACAATTACGAGGGCGGGAGGGTATCTCATATATTTCTCACTTCGTTTGTTAATATAATTTCAATTATACTTTCAGGCCGCTTCGCGGCCCTTGTA